CCTCTTAATGGTTCAGATGTCTGAATGGTTCAACACTTAATGGTTCAGACTGTTTGTTTCAGCCTCTTAATGGTTCAGATGTCTGAATGGTTAAGAGATTTGCTTCTGAATGGTTAAGTATTATACAGAGTCTGAATGGTTAAGACCTCTTATCTGAATTGATCAGACATTTGCCTCTGAATAGTTAAGCAATATACTAGCTCTTAATGGTTCAGACCTCTTACTGGTTCAGCACTTAATGGTTCAGACCTCTTATTAGTTCAACACTTACTTATTCAGAAGTTGCCAAACAGCTCCTAAATTCCTTTCACTTTTTGGGAGTCCCATCATTACACCATAAAAACTAAATGGTAAAATTTCATGGACTGGTATAATCCTGTTGCAGTTTGGTTTTTGGATCAATGTCTCTATGAACACCCTAGAAAGAGACACTAATTGATGGTTCCATTCCGTGAAGAATGGAAAATAACATATTATAACTCCAAGTGGCAGCCCATTGATCCAAACCTAATGGTCCATTACTCCATTTTTGCCCATAAAAGTGTAACAACATATAGAAGGCTACAAAGGTATATTGTAATGATAATGATCTTCATGGCTACTCTTCAAATGCCAGCTGATCTTCCTACTAGTCTTGATGAGGCACAATTTGTTATTGATGATATCAAGCGGATCATAATGAGTGATAATGTGTTGTCTTTCGAAGCATGATAATATGTACAAGTATATGGCTTTAATTCTTCATGAATCCTGGATTACATAAGTGACTTTGAATCTGCTCATAATCAGTCCTCACTAACCCAAAGATTCCTCCATGAAGAAACCCATTCATCATTTTTTTGGATGGAGAGAATTATATTTCCAGTGACCCTTGGTGTTACACTTTGGTTTCCCTCAGCTAAGGGTTCATCTGAGAATGATTCTACAAGAGCTTAGATATGCATTAATCTTATAAGTTAAAAGTAAATAATTTAATTAATCTATTTTCAAGAGTAATCAATGATATGCAAAATAAGAAGTTAAAATTAACATTTGTCTCAATAAGTTAGCATTCTAAGAAAAACATTATTAAAATCATAACAATTTATAACATAAACTATATTTGTATATTTTAAAAAATTATTTGTACTTATATATTTTTAATTTCATTGTTACTACTCCGTAACAGTTTTCTTTTTTTATATATTTATAGATTTAAAGTATTTTTAGTTAAAGTTATATATTTTTTATATGTTTATTACGGAGCACAATTTAACTTCATAGAGTTTTAAAAAAAATGTTAAAGTAAAAAGTATGATTGAAAGAGTGTAAAATTTCCTTTAGAACACCCAAAAACTGAAAGTGTAAACTTCATTGGAATGAATATGTATTTTCATTTATATTTTTGTGTTTTATTTATGTGTTATTAATATTTACATTTATTTTTATTTTTATACTTCATCCATCCCACAATGAGAAATGTTATTTGTTTACAAGAGAAATGTTATGATCCGCATAGTTGTTTCCTAAAAAGAAAGATGGGAGAAATATAATTAGAACTAGGCGTTTCACTACTTTGGTACAAGTTTCATCTTTTAGTCTCTTATTTTAGTACACCGAGTAAATTTCTGCAAAAAATGAAATAAGTGTGAGTTTTATTTTGAGGACGGATTAAAGTAGAGGGAGTGTTTATATTTATACAGTATTTGTATTTCAACCTTTTTATATTGTTTTCATTTCATTTTAAGAGCATAATAATTGTCTTTCAAAAAAAAGAGCATAATAATTGAAGAGTGCAATTATAAGCAATTTTGTCCCATCATATCCAATTATGCTCTGAAATCATGTGGCCAGTAAGCAGAAGGAAAACCAAGAGTGCAGTTACAAACAATTAAAATTAATATACAAGGACCAAAATTAACCGGGGTCAAAATGAACTATTCACAATAATGGCGTGTGATTCCCCAATAACGAGCTTGGTTCATCCGTTCCCTTAAAAACTGAAAACTAAAAATTCCTACAATCTGTCATCGCTGCTTCTTGGATCAATAACTCCAGCAAAATTCAGACACAAACCAGTTTGAGGACGAAGCAACGAGCAATTCATAAATTAAGAACGAATGGAATTCACTCCCATAAACAATTGAACACAATACCTGTATCGTAACCGAAAAGGAGACCACCAATACCAGCGATTACAGTCAAACCCAGAACATAGGGATTGCTGAAATATGTGACCTTCCTGTCGCCGACGTCCAAGTATCCGGAGCTACCAGGCATCGACTCGATCGTCATTTCTATTAGAGAACCAAATCGGAAAGAACAACTAAACAGAAACTGACTATCTCTATGGGTGGTCCACGATTTCCGGACAATTTCAGAGAAAATAGAAAGAGATTCTGGAGGTGATATACAAATATTTTATAGATTCGATAAAATCTCTCTCCCGGAAGGTAGCTGCGATGCAGAGCCACGGCTCCGCCGGGGATGTGATTGAGACCGGAGAGATAGAAGAAAGCCGGGGGTAAGAGAAGAAGTGACTTACTCAACTAATGGGAGAAGATGTTTTTATAATGTCCTCCTTCCTCATTCACTCAAATCATTTCAAATCCTCTTTCTTTTAAAAAACGTTGAAAAAACATCCACTCTTTGAGTCTTTGTCATGACTCATGAGTCTCATCACTCATGATCTCCCCATAAAGTCCCTAATCATCTAGGTATAGACTATTTTGGGAGTATTTCATTTTCCACATATTCACACAAATACTCAATTTTTTGAGTAAACTCGCAAGATATGTAAATAAAGCAGTGTTGGTCGGAAGATTTAGGCTCCGTTTGACATAAGCGTTAGAGATTAGCGTTAGCATTTTGAAAAAGTTATCTGACAGTAACGGGCATTAACATTTTCAGAATTAATCTACACCATTAAAATTTTATTCAAAATACTAACGCTAATAAAAAATATTGTTCCCAAACAATGCCTTATTCTTGGCAGTCCAAGACGGAGTAAGCAACGCCGTTTCTTCTCGGATTGATAATAAAAACGGAGTAAGCTACTCCGTTTCTCTTTATTTATTATCCAAAATGGAGTAGGCTACTCTGTTGGCCTTTAATTAACCAAAGGCGGAGTAAGGTACTCCGTTTACCCTCAAATCCACAAAGTAGATTAGATATGCCTTCTCATCCGCTCATTTACAGGTCCACAAAAAAACGAGGAGGGAGAGAGAACAAGGACAGATTGCTCGAGGGAGAGTGAGTATTCATAATATCATAATGTTATACATACATACATACATACATACATACATACACACACACACACACACATACATATATATATATATATATATATATATATATATATATATATAAGTTTTAATGTGTATCGTATTACTTGTTTATGTATGCAGTTTGTTTGGATGTTGTATCCAAATCTCGAAACCCTACCGTCCGTTGAGTCACAAAATGTCATATTTTATATTCTCATTTCTTAGTACTTTTATAATGTTTATATGCATTTTATACTTAAAGAAGCATGTTTTATTCTATTTAGCATTTTAGGCTATTTTTACTTTTTATAGATAAAATGCATGTATTTGAGTATATTTATATTCTACAATTACTTTGGAGTATAATTTCTTCTTGACATATTTTTCAGATATATTTTGGAGAACAAAAGTAATGAAAGAAGAAATGATGATTGGGCCGAGCCCAAATATTAAATTGGCCCAACATCCAATTGACCCATTCAAATACTATTTGGACATTAAAAAAAGAAAGAGATAAAAGGAAGAAGGACCGTGCTACGGTGCACCCGCCCCTGCCGCCTTTGCTGCCTCCTTATTTAAGCTTTTTTTTACCTTTTCTCCTTTTTTTCTTTTTTCTTTCCTCTACGACCCGTTTGTAGGTCGCCGCCGACCGGTTCCCCTACCCTTCGTCGTCGACTTGTTCCTAGTCCCTCACCCCACCCTTTGCCGGCCTGTCCATAGTCCCGCCGGCCAGTTACCCTACCCTTTCCCGTCGACCTGTTCCCAGTCCCTCACCCACCCTTCGCCGGCCAGTTACCCTTCGCCGTCGACCTCTCCTTAGCCGCCAACCCAGCCTCTTCCTTCGCGGCCGACCAGCCACCACCGCCGCCGCACCCACCCTCAGCTACCCCCCTCAATCCACTGCTTCCCCACCCCCCCACCCTTGCTCCGTCACCGGCCTTCCCTGCCCAACCCTTCTCCGTGTTCTTATCACTTTTACTGCTTTTCTTGAATTGTTACAATTTTGTGTTATAATTTTTTGAATTTTTGTGTTATAATTTTTTAAATTTTGTGTTATACATTTTTTGAATTTTTGTGGAGTACATAGGGTATTTGGTGATTATGGACTTACAAACATGTATTGTTACACATGTTGAGAATGATCAACCACATGATTTTGGTGGTGAAGAAGAAGACCTGGTTTATATGACTTGCAGCCCAGTTGTAAGTGTTGATATTTAGACCCCATTCTATATTCATTTGAAGTAGTGAAAAAATACTGTTTTGTTTTGGAGTTACAGAGATTAAAGTTCTGTGAACCTAGGGTTTGTCCTTGTCACAGGTGCTAATAATCTGTATGCACTCTGCATTTGGTGTATTTTTGTTTTCTTCATAGTCAGGCATTGTATTATATTAAACGTGCTGTTTTTTGCAGCTTTTGAACCAGATTTGCTTCTTAACGATCCTTGCTTTCAATATTTATTTAACGACGAAGGGCTAGAACAGGCGAGTGGTGAGATCGGACAGAACACATATGACATTAACAATGATGTCCGGAACAATGGTCAGTGTTCCACTCAAGGCCAACAATGCAATTGGGATGTGAAGCTAGAGTAATTGCGTCATGTAACAAATATGATAACTTTCTCTGAGTTCCATGCACATAAACTGATGTAAACCTGATGCAACTCTATCTTCACATAGATTAAGTCTGTGTGAAGTGTGTAACATAGACAGTTATTCCATATGAGCACCATGAAATCTAATGTATGCATTTTAACTTTCTTTTTACCTTTACAAGACCCCCACATATGTGATAAAATTCTGAAGATGGTGTATGTGCATAAAGTTATGTAACTCTGTCATCACATACATTAAATCTCTATGTAATAGGTAAAATAGACAGTTATTCTCTGTGAAGGTTCTGAAAGTAAATCTGTAAATTAGTCATAAACTAATGTAAATCAGTCATCACATACATTAACAAGTTGTGCATTAAGTTATGTAGCTTTGTCGTCACATACATTAAATCTCTGTGTACTGGGTAAAATAGACAGTTATTCTCTGTGAGGGTTCTAAAAGTAAATCTGTAAATCAGTCATAAACTAATGTAAATCAGCCATCACATACATTAACAAATTGTGCATTAACAAGTAGAAATTCATGATTATAAAAGCTCCATTACAAAGCTTTCAAAAAAATCTAAAGTGTTTCCCCAAAAAATACATTACAAAGCACAAAAACCATTACAAAGAGTTTCACAAAAATTAAAGACCCCTAAAATTGTAAAGTAAAAAAGCTAAATATTGGTTCTTTTCCTTCCACGCCATAACCTAGCTGCAAATTGACATCGGAAATCAGCCATGTGTTCAGAACTGCAGTCCGGACTCAATGGTAAGCCCACCAACAAATACTCTAGAAATGCTAGCACCATCACTCCACAATTGTCATACCTCCAAGGGGAAATAATATTAAAATAAGTAGGGGTGTATGATTTTCACGAGTCCATGGGAGTACCATAACGAAATAAAGGCGAAAATGTAGATTATGAAGTTGCATTAACAGAAGTTAAATATGTACACGGACAATAATCATATATGAAGTTCAATAAACAGAAGTTAATCGTCTATGAGATACAATTCACAGAAAGCAACAAAAATAACAAGCAGACCTCTTTCACATACAATAATGTTATATGAAGTTCAAATAACAGAACTTAACCATCTATGTCATACAATTCACACAGTAAGCTAAAATAACAAGCAAACCTTTTTCACAGACAATAATCTTATATAAACTGGATCCTTGAACAGCCCATAATTATTACTTTTTAAACCATGGTTGGGGCATATGGTCTTTGATACTTTGGAACTTTCCAAAAATCATTAATTACTACGGAGTATTTACTAAAGATGCTAAAATTCCAATGTAGAATAAGATCCAAGATCTGAACCCCCTAGGGTTTATATCAATTTTAGAAACAGAGAGATCAAGAAAGAGACCAAGGAAAGGGAAGTTAGCGTCAGTACCTGTTCGGAGGGGTGGGGCTGCCGGCGCTGGAGCTGGCGGGGTGGGACTGCCGGCGAAGGGGTGGGGCTGCCGGCGCTGCTGTGCTCTCGACGGAGAAGAAGGACGTGGAATTGGAGTTGTCCGAATTCTGTCGCTTGTGGAGGTTGAAGTGGGAGAAGGGAGATTTGGGAATTTTGGGGAAGAAGGTGGGAGAGGAAAAGACTATGAAAAAAGGAAAATTGAAAAAAAAAATTAAATATACTGGGTGCATGTTTGGAGGGGTGCCTGGTGCCTCTTTAGCATTCTCAACCAAGAATTCTTCCGTCAAAAAAGAGGAAATTGGGTACATATCGGGAAAGGCAAGGAACAGATAGAGCCGACTCAAATGCAAAGAAACCTTCTCCAAGTTGAACACAAATACAATGGAATCCATCTATAAATGTTTGGAGACTCAAGCCACGACGGGGGATATACAGAGAGCAGAGGAGGAGATTGGATCGAGAGCGGGAAAAGGGAGATGCCGGCCAGGGTTTCGACCCTAGCTGGACTTGATTGCTCGACGAGGTCCAGCGCGGCTATGACTTGTTTTCGGTAATGAAGTTGGCGACTGAGTTCGGCGGCGTGATGCAGCAATTTTGGTGTCGACTTCAGTCTCTTCTACGGCGGCGAACAGACGAAGCAGAAGACCTCAGGGGAGTACTTATCCATTTATACCTTTTTACTCCGTATTTGTTTTTGTTCTTCTTTCCTTTAATTAGGACTCTAATTTATTAATTTCTCAAGTTAAGAATTGATTGTCCAGTATTTAAATATGTTTATTTTCAATTTCATGTTTTTTTGAATGTTTAAGTTATATTATAAGTGTTGAATTGTTTAGATTTAATTTATTGATTTTTTATTGTCTCTGGATTTATAAAATTTTCTTAGGCTAAATTGTTTGACAAAAAGATTGAATCTTTGGTTGTTGAATTAATTTGACTTTGAAGAGATTATAACTTTATGTTACTGCTAAATCTAAATCCAAAAAGGATTACTCACCAGATTTTACTTAAATTGCACCAAATTAGGACGGTAGACTAATTCAATTTAAATTGATATTCTTTTAAAGTCAAACGTGGTTTAAATAGTCAAACTTTTCTAAAAACTAAGTGTCACTTGATTACTACTTCGCTGCCTCGTTAAGTGGTTTTTGCTAATCAAGGTTCTCGAAGTGATTTTGTTAAATAACTGTAGTGTTACTGCAAAGTTGTTATGATGATGTTTTCCATAAATCTTAATGCGCTATCCTTAATATTAACTTAAGGGTTGGTCTTTGGGTTGCTAAGGGTAGTAGGGTTTAGAGTTAGGATTGGTCCTAGCATAAGCTAATATGAATGGGAGAATAGGGAAGAACTGTTGGTCGATCTCTTATTCAGCCTAACCATGAGTTTAATTAGCAGTTTAATTTCAGAATCAAGGCATAATTAATTTGTTAATAAGATTTGTTTAGTTTATTTTTTATTAAAAACTAAAAGTATTTTAAAAAATATTTTAAGTTAATTATTAGTGTCTACATTTTTATAAAGTTTAAGTGTGTGTTTGTTTGTATGTTTGTTAGTGTTCTTCTAAGTTCGAGTTGCTCTTGTATCCTTATCTTTCTTTTATTTGCATTTTTATTTTTTTAGAATTATCATTCAAAGCCCCCCATATCTTTTAGTTTTATTAGATTTTACTTAGTTGTTTTTATTCAATAAAAATGACAAGCGAACCGACGCTCATAGCAATAAAAAGTATCTTTCCTCGTGAGATCGATCCTTACTTGCCCTATCTATGTGAGTTAATGAATATTTATTCATAAAGTGGGTTGAGAGTTAAGGAAAATAATAAATTAATTTGTAGGTGCTACGACACACCTACCACCGCCTTATTGTTCAGCTGGAGTCAAAATATGGATTTTAAGCATCCCTCTTATCTATGCATATGTAGTGGAGATGTACTATCTAGATCAGTTTTGCAGGCAGTTTGGTGCCCTCCAACAGTCCCTCAAGTTGTTGTCTATGATCGACATCTACACTATATTAAGTCAAATATTATGCAAATTGGCGATGGTGAGAGATAGTATTTAGAGGTATGGGAGGGACGTTATGATGCTGCCGTGCTGATGGATTTTGGGATGGTGGATGCCACACTTGAGTATTGTTAGTGGTATTACCTTTGGGGTCGACGACAGATAGCAAACCCCGTCCATCAGCACGGACCAGGGTACATCCTCATTTCTCCCGAGCTACAGAAAGCAGTAAGTATTCATAAAATACATGAATCTAAATTATAATTTTTTAAAGACTAATCAAGAATATTGTCTGTAGTTATATTGTATGGCGAATTGTCATCAGCGCCTTGATCCAAAGTAGGCATCCAGATGGATTTGTACATTCTCACGAAGTTTTAAGAGTTCATGAGTTAGGAGAATGTGTTCGTTCTCTTGGACATGCATTTATCTTTGATCACCCACAGGAGCAACAAGTTTATAATCCAGGACATATTACGAGACGGGCAAATAGAAGGCGCGATGCACCTACTGTCGGGGTTAAACGTGGTGGGCGGGGTCATCGGAGGTTGCATGTCGATGATGAAGATGTAAACATCCCCATTCAATCTCTCCCTATGACCCAAGATGATGATGTTAGTGATGAAGAACATATTGAGAGCGACACTCACACACCTTCTTGCATAGGTGAATCGTCGAGTTCATATCTTCCTCGATTCGACATAGAGCATCCTCTAAAGCGCATGTAGCATGCATCACCAGTCACATTAGATGGAGATGTGTTTAGGAATGATCTTTTTACTCAAGAAAGTTAGCTCACGAATGAGTTTGGACAATTTGTCTCCACTACTACACTGTCAGCAATCCATCAGACATTGGATGACGTAGAAGTGAAAGATGAATGAGAGCAGGGTCTTCGACCAGGACGCAATCGATGTGGAAGATGATGTGGTACTGGTAGCCATTATCTTTAGTATATTTGATGTTTACTTAATGTTTCCAGGTTTAAAAATGTTTGTTAAGATATTTTATGATGTGTAAACATGTTGAAATATTCGTTTAGATAATTTATGATGTGTAATAATATTTACTACCACCTACATATAATAATATCCACTCCCACCTACCCTATAATAATACTCACTCCCACCTAACTAAAATAATACTCACTTCCACCTAACTCCCTTCTCACTCCCAACCACCAAACTATTTACCCCCACCTACCCATCTAATATCCACCACCTTACACCTTATAAATAGCACTGAACATATGAATTTCAATCACATCATTACTTTAACTTTACTCTACTCGCAAAAATAAGCAATGACAGAGCCAAATAGTATACTTCTTGTAGCTCATTGGAATGGTGAGATACAAGTTGTAAACAATGAAGTTCAATACTCTTTGCTTCCAAAGAAGTCATTATTGCTCTACTCCGATATCTCCTACAACACGTTTCTCACTCAAATAAGCAGTGATGTACTTGAAGACGGATTCCAAGGCGTGGAATCTATCTACGGAAAATTCCGACATCAATCAGGGGTCTATGTTGGTTCACGACCTCTCACAATCAATGATGAACAAACATGGAGGCATTTTATACAAATTGCATCACCTTAATACGATGCAGTTGAAGTATTCATCGTCGTGTCCAAAGATGATGAGGAGGAAGATCATAAGGTCCAAAACAAATTAAAAATTTATAAAATATTCTTAACTAACCCCAAGATATAATCAAACAAAACTATAGCTAGGGCAAGCAAGGGTCGATCCCACGGAGAAAGTTTTTTGAAATCAAGTTAGCATGCACACACATTATCACGAAACAAAACAAACTACTACACATATTGTAAGACGTATAAAACTTATAATAAAACTTATAACTAAATAAATATAAAAAAATTATAAATATAACTTATATAAACAAAGAACTTTTAATATAACTTAAAACACTAAACACATGCTAAAAATATACTAAAGAATAAAGTATAAAGAACTTATATTTATAACTTATAAACAAACACTTATACTAAAACTAAAACATAAGGGGGGGTTGTTGGATGAAAAGTAAATATTTTTTTGTTTTTATATTTTCTTATTTTTTTGGTTTTTTTGATAAAAATGGGGGAAAACAAGCTCTAAAAATAATCAACTCCTCCAACTTAGGTAACCCAAAAAACACCGCCAAGAACCTGAAACAAAATAGAAAAAGAAAACACACACCGAACATTATACGTATAATAGGCACGTAGACAATATATTACGTAACTTACGCATTTAAGAATAGAAAAAATCAATCAAAGGCCAAGTCGATTCATTTCCTTAACCACGATATGGAGGATTGTCAACTCTCCACACGGCTCGGAGTCATGCAATTCAAAAGTCCGTTTTGAAATATACCTTAGAACCCCAACTCTCTATTCAAACATGAAAACAAACTTCCACTATAGAAAAAATTTATAAAAGAGAGAATATATTATGCATTCAACTCTGATACATAATCTATTCACAAATCGCCAATGCCTTATGCATTTTAATAAACTTTTCTCCTAATGATGAGCACATTTCACATATTTCCATGAACTTCTCAAACCAATGACGTTTTTTCTATTCACATAAATGAACACAAGTTACACAACATATTTTCAATAAATTTAGAATTGTTTTTGAGCTTAAACAACTTCAAATTAATGAAAATAACAAAGAAGCACATGAAAACATACACTATCACTTAATAACGAATTCTAAGAATAATGAATCAACTTATGGTGCTAAGAAATCCAAAATCCTTAAAATCAACGAACACAAAGCACAACAAAGATCACGTATGAATCCGGAGTTCATTTAACTATAACATGAAGCTAAAATAGCTTCAACAAAAAACTGAATTACACATATCAACCTACCTATGAAATCAAATTATGCAATTCAACCAATTCAACAACAACGTGCTCAATAATTGAAGAAAATTAGTATGAATCAATTCTCATTTATAAAGGATTTAAAATAAACATGTAAAAAAGCCAAAAAAAACACCAACCATTTTATTTAGAATTTTTGGAACAAACTAACAAACAAAAAAAAGTGTAAATTTGAATCAAAAACAATTTTTACATAGAATTCCAGAGAAAAAAAGAAATTGACAAACAAGGGTTACCAATTTGTTGAAGAAGATGAAGAAATTGAAGAAGTTGGAGCTTGAAAGAACCACCAAAACTCTGCCCCGGAGCTACTGCCACCGCCGGCCGTCGCCGGAGTTGCCACCGTCTCCGTCATAGAGCGGCTTGGTCGCTGCTTTATTCCGGTACCACTCCCCTTCGTTTCCCCCTTCTTAATCTCGTCGTTGTTCCCCCAATTTATAGCATGAGGATTTTCCCGTTGAGAATTGATTGTCGAACGAATATGATGGAGAGACCTTAGAGGTCGCTTTACTTCGATCGGTCGCCGTTACATAGTAGCGGAAGAAGGAGCCGATGATTTCTTTTCTCTCTTTTTCTTCGTTGCTGGACAAAAAATGAGATGGAGGAGTGGGCTGATCTCTTTTGTGTTTGGGATTCGGCCCAAAATCAACTTCTTCTTTTGAAACTTGAACGGCATTTTTGGCTTTTTGCTGCATTTTTTTTAAAATAATATATTTGATAATTTAAGTTAGGAAAAAT